CTCCAACACCATACTCACTGTCCTCCGGGACTTCCGTTAACAATGGAGCGACACGGCGAAGGTTAATTACAGTAATTAGGACGCCCGCGCAAGGATAAGAACAGCAAAACCGAACGAGAAGTAAGCAATGCCCACTGCAGCTCTTGCTTGCGAACATGTTCCCGTAGATCTTTTTTTTTTTTTTTTTTTTTTTTTTTTTTTGAAAAACAGCTCCATCTATTGGTGGGGAGCAACACCTGCTGGAAACCGGGTCCAGCGTTCCCGTAGATCAAACATTCTAGTAAAAAAAAAAAAAAAAGCGCTTACTTGCCCCACTCATGCCTTGTCTTTCCCGCCTCTTTCCCGTCTATTTCCCGCCTCTTTCCCGCCTGTTTCCCACCTCTTTCCCGCCTTTTCGGTGCCAGATCGCCTTGTCGCTGCGCAATCCCTACTCCCACGAGAAATAAATACATACAGAATGCAATGCAATTCTAGTACTGGGCCTTGCTCCACTACCGTTTTCACCCCAATAGAACGCCCGGTCATTATAACCGTATCTGGCACAACTTTCCGTCCAGATACGGCGATAATTACCGGGCGTTCTATTCGGGTGAAGACGGTAGTCTCGAAAAATGCAAAACATGCAAAACGAGAGTGAATCTTTCGCTAGAACAACATGGAAAGATACACCGCCATGATTTTTGTCTTTTTTTTGTGCATGTCGAGAGAGTACTGGAGCGAGGCCCATTCTCATGACACTCAGAACGCGCACATTTCCCTGACGACGCAGGTCTCGACTGGTTGCGCGCTCCGGCACCTCCTCAGCGCGGGCTAATCGCGAACCTCAAGCCCAGCTGCTCCCGACTATCATCGCCCCCTACACCACCGAGCACCGACAATGACACGACACATTCCAGTCGCCTTTCTTTTCGATGGAACCAAGGTATTGACGCATTCAAGTGAATGCTCTATGTATATATACTGTATGTCGTAATAGAGGACTGCCCCGTGAATCGCAGGTAGAGAGGGAGAAGAGGTGAACCGTGGGCAGAGAGGGAGAGAAGTGAAGCGTGGGCAGATAGGGAGAGAAGGGAACTGTGGGCAGAGAGGGAGAGAAGGGAACTTGTGGGCAGAGAGCGAGGAGAGGACAACAAACGAGGGGCTGTGACAGACTGGTTCGTCATACTGTAGTGTATATACTCTCATAAACATATATATGTGAGTGCCGTACCTCCTTTGTTTATTTGACAACTGATGAACACGCCGTACACCCCTACATTTACTGTAATTCAGAGTCACGATTGCCCAAGCCGAGTCCTGTTCTCCAATCTATGAGATCACTTGGGGCTCCCACGCGATCCGATGCGACGATAAGCCTCAGCGCGCTACAAGTCTTTCCCGCCAACACCTTCCGCTCCCCCCCAGTAAGTCCTTTTCCCGCCCACCTTCCGCTCCCCCCTCCAAGTCCTTTTCCCGCCGCCACCTTCCGCTCGCCGCGAGCTCGATCGCGCTCAAGCGATGACGGGCAACTTGCCCTTCGTTCGGTCCATCTATGACGAGGTGGGGGTTGTCAAGTCAGATGTGACCAGATTCACTGGCAATGAATTGAAAGCGCAATGTAAACCCTGTTCAGCGTGGTGTAAGTGGTTTCGGAAAAGCGCGCTCTCGCACACTGCAGGCTCCGCGCCCGCACTACCCCACACTCCTCTCCATGAGAGGGGAAAGAGGGAGCAGAGAGAAGCGGGAAACGAAAGCGATGAGATGAAAGTGAAGAGTAGAAAAAAGAGAATAACGACAGCGATTGCTCCGCGCCCGCACTACCCCGCACTCCTTTCCTTGCATCCTATCGGGTTTAGGAGGGTTTAAGGAGGGTTTAAGGAGGGTTTAAGGAGGGTTAAAGAAGGGTTTAAGGAGGATACGCTGACCTGCAGGCTGAGGGTTAAGGAGGGTTAAGGAGGGTTTAAGGAGGATACGGTGACCTTCCGGTTAAGGGCGGTTAAGGAGGATTAAATCAGGGTTGAGGAGGGTTTTAAGGAGGGCTACGGAGGGTTAAGGAGGAGACGCTGACCTGCCTGCCTCCCTGCCTGCCTCCCTGCCTGCCTCCCTGCCTGCCTGCCTGCTGCTTGCCTCCCTGCCTGCCTACCTGCCTGCCTGCCAGCTTGGCTACCCTCTTGGCTCCCTATCTGCCTTCCTCTGTGCCTGCTAATCGGTCATCAATGTACTGCTGCTATGAGGATCGCTGTGATGAACCTCACCTAGGTATGACGGGATGTGTGGAGCCATTGATAACACGAGGAAGCTGTGTGCAGCAAGGAGGAGGAGGAGGAGGAGGAGGAGCACGGTGCAATTGAAATTCTGGGAATCAACGGCGGAGGAGGGCAATTCAAAATTCAAGTGGGAATCAAACACCAATTGAAATTGGACCAGTGGCGGGAGAAAGTTTGCAATTGCAGACCGACGTGTCACCGCACCTCCGCGCGAAAGAGGCGGGAGATAGAGAGAGCAACGAAAAATGGAAGCGGAACAGAACCCGCCCACTGCTGATCCGCGCCTTCTTTCGCGCAGGGCGCTATCCCTCCTGCCTGTTTTTCGAAGGCGCCTTCTTTCCGTAGGCCCGCTCGCTCTTCTTTCCGAAGACGTCACTATGTTCTCCAAAAGCACCGCCTTCGCACCGCCTCCTACCACAGTGCGAGTCCTTTTCCCATTTCTAGCCGTCCACCGTCATGATCTACGGCCAGAAGCGACAATCGCGCGCGAGTGGGACCAGGGCCCCGGTAAGCAAGGCACACAGAGCAACGGTCCTGGGAAACGGGAACAGGCTTTCAACTTCTTTTTGCTGTTCGCAGCCCGTACGAGGATGGGCGAGGATGGGCGGCACCCTTGTTCAGGGACGCTGGACCCGCTTTCCAGCAGGTGTTGCTCCCCACCAATAGATGGAGCCTCCCCGGGAGTGCTAGCGGTGTCTGCTCTTACCAGCACCCCTAGCACCCGCTCGGGCTGTTCTGAGTGGGCGGCACCCGCTGGAATGGGATTGGATCCTTGGTATGCACAGCAACACCAGCGGCCCTAAGCCTAAACCTCTCTCGAAACTCTCTATGAAAGCGACACTGCCTGCGCCACGCCCAAGGGGTCCTCGTCCATGGTTGTTTGCTGGAATGGGCTTGGGGGAGACAGCAGCAGCCCTAAGCCTAAACCTCTCTGTAAACTCGCCCAAGGGGTCCTCGTCCATGGTTGTTAGCTGGAATGGGCTTGGGGGAGACAGCAGAGCCTAAACCTCTCTCTAAACTCTCTGGGAAAGCGACACTGCCTGCCCACCGCTCAAGAGGTCCTCGGCCATGGTTGTTGTAAGCTGGAATGGGCTTGGGGGAGGGCTTTTTCGGGGTTAGTCTGTCCATTGTTCCGATGAACTCAGGTCTCTTGTGGTTGTCACTCCATGGGGGAGGTAGGGGAGGTAAGGGGTGTGGGGGGCGGACAGAAGGTCCACATGTACGAACCCATTAGGCGCTTTTAGGATTCATGTTGATTGCTTGGGTTACTACGTATGTCTATTCATGAGTAGACTATCGCACTGTGGTATCTTGTCATAGCTATACTCGCACCTGTGGTTGTCAGCCCCAGTTAGAACTTGCACCGTAAATAGGCTTACCATGGTAATGGTACTGTATAACGCCCGAACTTTGTTGGTACATAGTGGTATTAAGGGTCTCGTTAGACACTCCTAAAAGTGCCTGGTTCTAGGATTGTGTCTTGGTTGAACGCAATCCCAACCAATTTTGAGATCGAAAATGTGAAAACGGCATTAGAACGAGTCCTAAAGGATTTAGGATTCCCCAGGCAAAATCGTTCTAAATTTTCCGGTAGCCCCCGACCTACTGAAAATTTTAGGATTCCCGCGTTTCACGGACTCGTTGCGTCGCGCTCATGGCACCGTCAACACGGAGTTGCTGGTGCAGAAGCGGTCCGGCGGGTCAGTGGTCGGGCATCGGAGGTTTTCTGCGGGTCGACGCAGGCAACGTCCACGAACGGTAGCCGTTGGCGGGGATTGGACGGACATTGGCAGGAATGGACGGACATTGGCGACGCGGCTGCGTATACGCATATGAAAACCGGCCGCGGGAGACCTTTTAGGACGAATCCTAAAAGATGATTTTTGGGATTGCGTGTAATGACGCCGCACGAAATCCTATAAATCCTTTAGGACTCGTCCTAAAAATTTTAGGATTCTTTTAGGAGTGTCTAACGAGACCCTAAACCACCAGTACCTCATCTAGGCAAAATTAGCCAACGCAGCCGGTGACAAGTGTTCAAGAGTGCAGTACGAGAATGAATCTCCCTGGAGAAGGCGGGAAGTTTCATTCTCGAGACTCTCTCTCTCTCTCTCTCTCTCTCTCTCTCTCTCTCTCTCTCTCTCTCTCTTCCCCCCCCCCCTTGTATTTCTTCTCTTTTTCATTTTTTTCCCTTTCTGTATAATCACATTTATTTATTTTTCCTTGCTTTTTTATTTTTTGTGCGTGTTTTTTTTAACAATTGTGTCCCGCTACCGGTAGCTCTAGGCTCGGCAAGTCTCAACATACCGGTAGTGGGAGGCTCGGACTTGATAGATGGGCGAGGTACTGGTGGTGTAACTGGTATTATGACCTGCAGGCCCCGGGACCCCTAGACTACTACTCCGTTCGTCCCCCTTGGGGGGCTACTATCTTGGTGTCTGGGTACCACTAGGTGTTACTCGTTTAGATGGGGGTTCTCATAGGGGGAGGGTGTGGCACAGAGATTATTATATCTATGGTTAAACTCCCTTCGTGTGCGTCTCGACTCGGAGCCATGAGGGTAAGGTTGTCTCATATTGGGGGAGTGTGCGCAGGGTGTGTGTAGGAATGGGGTACAAGAACGTCGTGGTAGGTAGGGTTGAATGATGCAGGTTGCTTAATGGATAATTCACCGTTCGAGAGGAGTAGTTAACTCACATACAATGGCCTCATGGGTCACCTGCGAAAACCATTGTCGAGTGCATTGTCCTCGCCGGAGGGGACCTTCCCTGCCACGTCACGCAGGATTGGCAGAATTCGCAAGTCGCTTCATAAAAAGGGAAGGGGAGGAACCGCTCTGGCCAAGTGCGCCAGCTATACCTCCATCGAGTCCCTACGATATGATAGGGTCTCGCGAGGTACAACTTAACTTTCCCCGTGGGCGTTATCACCATCCCTTGGGTGGGCGTATCCCCGCCGAGCTACTGAGTTACACGCGAAAGTTTTTACGTGCAATCGCGGAGGTGGTCCGCCCGAGGGCGTTTCTCGTATGTTGTAGCATAGGGGGTACGCGCGGTCCACGCCTAACTCGTACCCGTACGCGAACCGTCACACTTGGGTGCTGATCTCCCACGTGCGATTCAACATCGGTCGACTAGGACATCCTAACTCAACCACGCGGCGACATGCAACAAACAAACTAACTCAGACAAACAAATTAGCCTAGTCCCTTTTCATACGTCCTGACCCATAACTCAGAAAAAAACAAAGTGTCTGAGCGAGGTTCGTGCCGAGTTGCATAAAAAGAATGCAAGTGTTAA